CTTTTCAGGGCCACCCACAATTTGATTTAAATTCTTTTGTTTCAATTCCTAATTTCTATAGCAAAGGTCAAGTGATCAAACCATCAAAATTCATTTAAGATTAATAGTCATTGTGTAATTAGCGCCTACGTATTCATAAACGCTTTTTAAGCTTTGTCAAATATACGGTTTAAGTAAACGATTTCGTATAGGAAATGTCATCTAATGAACACTCATCTGTCTAAGAATAGTACATGCAAAACTTATTCAGAATGTTTCAATGTTGTGTCATATAGTTAGGATAGGCGGATGTAGTACTACCAGTTCACTAGTACAACGACATCATTTCTATAGGAAAGGTCAACTGAACCAACATCGATGAATTCTAATTAAGCCTTGGTGATTGAGCAATATAATCAATTGAGATTTATAAAAATTTCGTGGATTAGTTGAAGTCAGACATTAACAGGTATTCCATGGTGCTCCTCTAGCTTCAATTCACTCATGATCTCAACTATTCCAATAAAAAAATAATACTGTCTGACTATTCCATCCCAGTTTTGATCAAAATGTTGACTTTAAAAAGGAAAGATACCAACTCCATTTTACTCAGAAAATAGCAAATAATATTTATGATTGGGTTCTTTTCCAAACAGTAATTCTTAGTACAAAAGAGTTGTTTAGTTTCGCCGGAAAATGGTGTCAGAAATAAATGCAAGATTGTCAATTGAGTTATTTTGCTAATCCATTAAAAGCGTTACTTGTTTTTACCTGTACATTCTTTGTAGTTGAGTAGTTTTAAATTATGACAAAAAGTACTTGTCTATGTAAGTAGTGATGATGTCACAGGTATTCAGTGTTTGACAACGCTTCTACCAGTAACACCTTCTAAGATATTTCGTTCCCACCAAGAGAAATCAAAAGACAGAGTCGAGGAGATCGGAAGAGTATATTTGGCGATGACCAATATACCGGGATTCTCTGATCTAATCTGGCTAGCGATTGTGGTTGATGTTGAGCACGGCGTTACTACACGTGATCTGGTGCGGATGCCTGACCGAGCGCCTTCAGCTAGATGAGTCCACTAAAACATATGGTCAGCATCCAATGTCGAAAACTTACAGAGCTATTTATTTTAGGGATTTATTTACCGCTACAGATCACTCCCCCCCTAGTGGGGCAGTGACGACCCTAAGACGTGGCCAGCCAGAAGTTTAAACCCAACGAGTTTGTCGTTGGTAAACACTCTTCTGATAGCTTACTAAATTTAGCAGCGTCTGGTCGTCTTTCCTTACTATATGGGACGGAGGTACAACATAGTAAAAAAAAGAAAATGTACAATGAAAATTTCGGATCCTCATAAACGTCATCGTTCTTTTCCAGCCGTCCTGGAAAAGAAAAAAGAAAATGTAAGTGCATGTCGAAAATACACTCGTATATGCGTAAAAACACAAGGTCGGCGGAAAAAAAATGGAAAATAAACTCATGAGCACGTAATAGCGTTAAAAAATTGTTTTTTTTTTGTTTTTTTTTTTAATAGAAATAAAAATATATAAGCATATTAAAATTGTTTTTTTTTCAAAAAAAAAATAATATAAAATGTCGAGAAGTGCCTTACGTGCAATAGTCGTTTAAATGTTCTGGAAATCTCACCCTTCTTCCAGAACGCGTCGTTTTAAGTTTATTTTCGGATACTGTCGAAGTATCTTCGTGTGCGTTGGTTGTCGGATGAGGTATTATTAGTGTCTGAGTCGTGTCGTTCGATTGTACCGAAGGAAAATCGACGTGGATAGGATTTCCTTCTAAATACGCTGCTTTTAAGCGATCGATGCTGATGCTATCGTTGGTTCCGTTCTTATCGACTATATAGTACTTAGATTCACGTTGAAGAACTTTGAAGGGTCCTTCGTATGCTGATTCGAATGGTCGTCGATGCGAGTCTCGACGAATGAAAACGTGTGTACTATATCGTAAGTCAGGTTGAACGAAAACATCAGTTGATTGAGGTCGAGTGGAAGCAGGTTTAACTGAACGCATTGCGTTTGTAAGCCTGTTCGTGTAGGAGGTTAGATCCATGTTCATCGAAGAGCACGAAGGATCCACGAATTCTCCTGGAAGTCGAAGTGTCGTTCCATAAACGAGTTGAGCCGCAGTGTATCCAATGTCAGCTTTCACTGCATTGCGGATACCTAGTAAGACGAGTGGAAGAGCGTCGGTCCATTGTGAAACGTTTGCAGCTGATAGCGAAGCTTTCAGTTGTCGGTGAAAACGTTCTACCAACCCGTTTGCTTGGGGATGGTAGGCGGTCGTTCGGAAGCGAGTGATTCCTAAAAGTGTGGTCAGACGACGGAAAAGATCAGATTCAAACTGACGTCCGCGGTCTGTAGTGATGGTTGAAGGGCAACCGAAGTTTGCTACCCATCGTTCGACGAATGTGCGGGCCACTGTTTCAGCAGTGCTGTCCTTGATAGGTACTGCTTCTGGCCATCGAGTGAAACGGTCTACGCAGGTTAAGAGATAAGAGTATCCATTTGAATCTGGTAAAGGTCCTACCAAATCCAGATGAACATGGTCGAAACGAGCATCGGGAGTTTTAAACGAGCCTAAGGGACATTTATTGTGTCTGATAACCTTAGATTTTTGGCAGCTTACACAGGAGCGTGCCCACTCCCTCACGTCTTTATTCATGCCAGGCCAGCAAAATCGTTCTGCTATAAGCTTGATGGTTGCACGAACACCTGGATGAGAAAGTTTGTGCAATGTGTTGAAGACATTGCGTCGATAATGTTTCGGCACGATTGGGCGATCCCTACCTGTAGATGTGTCACAAAGTAAGGTTTCCTTACCTGTTCCCATCTGTTTGATGCGTAGTTTAAGTGTTGTGGACGATAACTCGTGCTGAAGATCACTGTCTTCTTTTTGAAGCTCGGCGAGTTTAAGAAGGTCGATTCCTTGGAAACTGTTCAAGGAAGTTATACGAGATAAAGCGTCTGCAACTACATTGTTTGCTCCAGAGATGTGTTGAATATCTGAAGTAAACTGCGAAATGTAGTCCAGTTGTCGAGACTCACGGGGAGAGTACTTGTCAGAAGGAGAGCTTAACGAGAAAGTGAGCGGTTTATGGTCCGTGAAAAGAGTGAATTCACGGCCTTCGATATAGTGTTGGAAATGCCGTACAGCACAATACATAGCTAGGAGTTCCCTACCGAATGTGCTGTACCTCGATTCGGTGTCTAGCAACCTTCTAGAGAAAAATGCCAAGGGCTCACCAATGATGATGTCACAGGTATTCAGTGTTTGACAACGCTTCTACCAGTAACACCTTCTAAGATATTTCGTTCCCACCAAGAGAAATCAAAAGACAGAGTCGAGGAGATCGGAAGAGTATATTTGGCGATGACCAATATACCGGGATTCTCTGATCTAATCTGGCTAGCGATTGTGGTTGATGTTGAGCACGGCGTTACTACACGTGATCTGGTGCGGATGCCTGACCGAGCGCCTTCAGCTAGATGAGTCCACTAAAACATATGGTCAGCATCCAATGTCGAAAACTTACAGAGCTATTTATTTTAGGGATTTATTTACCGCTACAGTAGTCATGTGAATGAGTTCTTATGGAGCTCGTCAAGTGATTGAGACGTTACGAGATACAATGTATTCGCATAGCCCACCCAAAGATGTTATGTGCGCTTTCAATCACCAATCGTTTACATTATAAATTGGCGCGAGACTCTAATTTAGCGATGACCTTTGAACGAATCCTAAATGACCTTGACAATTATTAGCCAATCAGAAGACAGTTAGTATTAAGTGAGAATATATTGTAAGTAACGAATTACAGTGGATATTCTTCTTTTACATGATTTAAAAACTTGTTAAGGTTTGATAAATGTTCAGAGGCTCTGAATTAATAATGGATACGGCATAGAAACTCGTCCATAGGGTTAGTGGTTAAGGTTGTAGCCTGTCAATAAACACCTATCTTTAAAATCCGATGTAAACCGATCGCATGTTAGCACCTTAACCCTAACCCAAAACCCTAAACTCAAACCTTAACCCTAACCTAACCATAAACCCTAATCTATCCCTAACCCTAAACCCAAACCTTAGCCTAACCCTAATCTAGCCCTAAACCCTAACCTTAACCTAACCCTAAACCCTAATCTAACACTAAATCCAAACCTTAACCTAACCCTAAACCCAAACCTTAACCTAACCCTAATCTAACCCTAACCCTAAACCTTAACCCCAAACCCTAACCCTATTGGCGAGTTTCTATACAATATGCATTATGAATTCAGAACTTCTGAGCCTTTATCAAACCTCAACAAGTTTTTAAATCACGTAAAAGAAGAATATCCACTCTAATTCATTACTTGTAATATATTTTTACTTTATACTGTCTTCTGATTGGCTAATAATTGAAATTGCTCAAACGATTCTCATTGTCTCGTCCCTAAATTAGATTTTCGCCGTCCCATCTGTTTCAACCTCTCATTAATCACCTCCTCTCTAAAATCCGCTGTGAACTGACCGCATGTTAGCATCGCGTGTTGAACTTGGCTCCGTGACCTTGAAATTGCTCAAACGCTTTTGATTGGCTCGTCGCTAAATTAGAGTCTCGCCTAAATTGGCAAATGCCTTACCCGGAATGTTCGCCTGTGAGAACACTTTGTACCGCATATTGTAGATATCTTGATCATCCAGTAGTTTCCCATAAGAATGGTAAGCATAATTCTTAATGTGGAATGAAGCAGTACCAGATATTAGCAGCGGTCGCACATTTTCAAACTGGGCCTCTGTTAACCTGCGCACCCATGAATTACCTTGGTACCTCAGGGAATTGCACTCGTGATTGTGATGCACATTCCCACGTACAACAGTCCAGTAGCCGTCGATAATCTTACAATACATGAAGGCCGGACCTTGAGTGTTCATGGAAGCCCTTCATGACAAAAAATGTTAATAACATTTATAAAATTACCTCCTCCGTCTGATCCGCTGTGACGAACCGCTAGATGTTATACGACCATGTCTCCAGCACACAAATTTAATGTACGAGTTTTAATTTCTGCCCAAATGCGGAAAATTGAAAGCGCACATAACATCTTTGGGTGGGCTATGCGAATACGAATTAGACGATGATAAATGTCTATCGTACTTTTTCTTCACCACTGGTGATCGAAAGATTTTTCCAGATCGTTTCGGTGATGTTATTGATTTGGACGGAACATACAAGACGAATAACGAGAATATCTATTTATATCAGGTCGTACTTTGTGGTCGGGTAAATCACCTAATTATTCATGGACCTTTTCGCACTGCTCTGAATTCAGAGATTTCACAGGAAATCAGGATATCACAATACAGCCAATAGTGCTCAAGTTGTCTTGTCTTACCTTATTTGCGGTGCTTACCAGCCAATCAGGTGCTAAAATAGTTTTCTCCTCTCTACCCCACCTCAAACTCACGCGAACTAGCCTCAAGGTCAAGCCGGTCAGCCAGTTGCGTCAAGATCTTAATCTAGAGTAGACAGATCAAGGTCATAACACCATTCCTCACTAAAAGTCACTGGATTTATAATTGAGTAAAGTACACTGGCTTCTGAACAGATTGATATGTAGTAACGAAATATTTGAGACATATTCAGTTGACTTCCTTTTACTTTATCAATCTGTGTGAGGAAACATTTAGCTTGGAAGAAGGTGTTTAATTTTATTCTTATGTTTTATTTCCTGAAATACTAGTATGCAAATTCTACTGACGATATTCAAGTTGCATCAGATGACTCAAGTATGTGTTGAAAATTTAATTTATCATTCACTAAAATAAGGGTCATAGTTCGATGGTCACCAGCTATAGTATAATTATCAAATAAATTAACAAACTTCTTGAAAGTAAACTTCGAGATATTACTGAAGCTGTAATTTACAAAAATCCTGTTCTTACACTAGAAAATAGTTAAATAACAACCAACAGTCTGCTAAATTCCTACTTAAGCCACTCTTCATTAGGTCAGAATATAATGCAAATGTGATTAATAATATGTACTTTATTTAAAACGGTTAATTGCAAGATAAGTAATATAATAGAAAATTAACTAAATGTTCTATTATTGCACACAACATAAAATGGACACATTGAAAAGGCACAAATATTTGAACAAAGTTTGTATTCCAACTGAAAGTGATTGATCGGTTAAAAAGGCTTGATGTTTGGACAGGTGTTAGTCCAGTCTGCCAATAGAAGTTCATTTGCATAAATTGCGTTGATGCATACTATAGGAGATTTATATAGAAACAAACAAGATCAAACGGTGGTCAATCAGCTGATAAACTCACTTTTCAAACTTCAAATCAAGTATCATTTTTGATAGACATATTTTGAATGTTAATAACAGAACTATGACTAAGCTACGATGTGTTGGCGAATGCGTGTTGTATCCACGGTATAACCAAACACGTATGTCATAGAAATCTGGCTATCTGCTGTAATAATTTCTATAATAATCTATCTTATTTAAACAATACTAGATGGTAGAATGCAGTCAAACCAGTATACAATGAATAAAATCTTACAACTATGCAAACGGTGGGATCAACCAATAGAAGTAAACCAATTCAGATTAAAATTTGGTTGTTTATCTGTGTGCACCTCAATAAAATAATGTGAATGTAGTGTTGACATCTTCATTTGAGCATTAAATTACAAAAATTAAGCTATGCATTATTAAGAATTAATAAAGTTACTATTTAACGACAACCGTGTGAAAGACGAATTATGTAGTCATGGAAAAACCGACTATATGAGAAATAAAAATCACACATATTCTTAATGCTATCTAGTGCATATCACAAGAGCTATGTGTTCGGTTGGAATTGTCATGACTCTTATCCTTGAAGAAATATTGAAAACTCTTAGGTTTTGATGCACACTTCCATGTGGGATGACAGAAAACACGTTTGAGCATCTGGTTACTACTATACATTACTTACCATTCCATTGATTAGCCACTCGCATCTTGCAAAATGACTCAGACAGTGTATTATCAATTGATCCAGTTGATGAAATCCATGGTATGACACTTGCTGTAATGATTTCAGTCGACGTATTCAAAGTTCTTTGATACATGAATGAGTTGATTGAAATCCATGTTTTACCCAAATCCTTACTCATCATTACACCTCCACCATTTGCCCCCAAACCGAACAATATGCCAAGTGGATTTGTGTACGCTATAATCTGTTCAACATATGGTCCGACATCTGATAATCGAAAAGAAATCAATTGAAACATATCTGACATTGTTTTGTCAAAATAAGCCTAAACAAAATTTTCGATGAGCCGAAATTCTTTGCAACTATGTATTTCATGATTCTGTACAATGGATGTTTTAAAATACTAAACGTTTGTAGTTATGACTTATTAAAATACTTTATTTGTCCTACATGAACAAAAAATTCTCTTATGACCTTATAAATCAGTTCAAGTAGTCATGTATAATTAATAGTAAAATATGAAGAGAATGAATTGTGAATCCTCCTTCCAAGTACAAATTCTGCCATAATTAGCTTGTGATGTCGGTCTTTAATGTAAAACATTTGTTTTCCTTCATTATGATAATGTTTGGTTTTATACATTATGTCTTGTAAACTGAGTCAGATGTTAAGTTGATGCGTTCATGAATAACCAATTTTGATAATTGTTATTCTATTGATTTATAATCTGGTATCAACAAACTAAGGTAGGTTAGCACATCATGAATGTGGTAAAAATAGGGCAATAAGTAGAATTGGACAGAGGTGGTAGTGGATACTCTCCCGTTACAAAGTAGTAAGCTCTGAATATCAAAAGGTTGGTTATTCTGAAGAAATCATCATACTTGTCGATTAATCTAAATCTTAGTTGTGTGGTGTGGACTACTGTAGTCGACAGATGTAAGTAGTATATGTCATCAATGGAAATTGAAATGCCTGGTGGTAGAAAGTTGAGATCGAAGAACAGAGGACAGGGATAGAGGATGGTTGGAGTGGAAACGAAGGAACAATCAAGTATGAGACGATTGATTGACATTTCGCAAATGAAGTGTTTATTTTATGGTTCTCAGATTTTACTAGGATGTTCTGTAATTTTATATTGTAATGCATTTGGTTGTGTCTACTGGTGTTCTCGTTCACTAGAGTTGAATTAAATCGGCTTGCATTGAGAGTATATTCAGTATTGATTTAAACATATGTTTACTTGTTATTGGGATTTCTGTAGTTTTACAAAATTGGGAAAGGAATTGTTTGTAATTGGAATAAATGATAAATTTAATAAACATCCAGTTAACTTTGAGATTCGAGTGACTAAAAGTTTTCAACAGTGTGTTGTTGAAACGGACGAAAGACTCAGTAGACACTCAACTTCGAGATCAACAGACTGGATCCCATAAGGATCGGTCGTGCACAAAGTAAATCTCTACCCAACGGATCACTGTTGAACGATTAATTGAATGGAATTCGTCACCATACATCACCTTCCTTGACTATGAGAAGTCGTATGACAGTGTGGATAAGAAAAGCTCATGGAAACGTCTTTGACACTATGGTGTATGTGAGAAGATCGTCAATATCATACGGAATTCATTCGACGAAATATACTGCAAAGTGGTGGACGAATGACAGCTGACAGATGCATGCCAAGTGAGAACTAGTGTCAGACAAGGCTACTTACTCTCTCCGTTTCTATTTTTCTGGTGGTTGACTGAATTATGATCACCTCGATATCTGGGGGGTTAGGGCGTGGTTAGCTGGCATACAATGGACAGCTTGCATGCAACTAGACGATTTGTGCTTCACACATGACCTAACCCTTCTATCACATACACATCAACAAATGAAGATGGAAACAGCCAGTGTTGCTGCAGCCTGTGCATTAGTAGGCTTCAACATACACAAGTGAAAAACCAAGATCCTCAAGTACAATACAGAGAACATCAACACAATCACACTTGACGAAAAGACGCTCTCGAAGTGGTGGAAACTTTCACGTACGTGTGTAACATCATCGATGAACAAAGAGTATCAGATGCAGATGTAAAGGGGAGGATTGGCAAAGCAAGGATAACATCCCTTCAATTGAAGAACATATGCAACTCAAAACAACTGTCAACCAATATCAAAGACATAATCTTCCACACAAATGTCAATACAGTTAGTTCTATTGTACGGAGCTGAAACGTGGAGGACTACTACAACCATTATCAAAAGAGTACAAATATTTATAAACAGTTGCCTACGAGAGATACTCAATTTCTGTTGGCTGGATACAATCAGCAACAACCTACTGTGGGAGAGAACAAAACAATTTTCATT